TTCTGTTCAGAGGGGTCAGGCAAGTGTGATTTCGGGGGATAATTAGAAGATTCACTGATAACAAAAGAAAACTACTAATTATAGCTGAATTTGACAAGATTATGTGAAACGGATGCACATAAAATATTCAATTGGGTTCAATTATGTTCTCAGACATTTCCCAAGAAATGTTGCAGACATGCCCCTGAATACTTTAATATTAAATACGACTCGTTAAACAATAACAAAAAAAAGTATAAATAACGAAGACGTATCCGACTATGTGGTAAAGGAAGTATCACGCGAGAGAACAAAGACATAACGACATCTTTTGCGGACGAGGCTAGTAGTCAAAAACCACATCCACAGCCAGTGAGGTGACCCCCCTCCGGGTAATGACAAAATGCCAATATTCAATGGTTAATTTGCGGTTGTCAAATGCGGATATCGAATAAAAAAAGTGTGCCCACTCCAACGCAGGATGTTATTAAAGTTGTATTGTCTCTTATAGATTGTTAACGTTTCTAATTTAGGGAATTAACTCAGTTTACGAACCCGGTATTACTTATAAGCGAGCGGTCATATGTACATTAGGGGCTCATTTGTTTAGTTTAATGCACCCAGCATACACACACCCATATCATTTGAAAGCTCATTATGTCTACTTTGCAACCTTGTTTGATGTGCCGCTCTAAAGTGGTCAGAATTGCTGTTATTTGAGGGGAAAGCGCTGAATAGTGTTTAGATAGACTCGTTTTTCTAGTGAATTTTAGGACATACTGTATATAGTCCACTAAAAACTGGTATTTACTGAAATTAAGTAATAATCAAAGAAATAAATTTGGTCGAAAATAAGTGGTTTTCTGACGTTGCATTTAAAAGTTAAAAAACACAATTTACTGGCAATTTAATGTGGGAACTATTTTGTCTTAGAACAGTGATGTCATCGTAATTACATAAACGAGCGATTGAGCCCTCCTGTCATATTATTTCCCCTGTCGTATTATTTTCACATCATTTTTACCAAAAATATTCGTTGGAATAATGAAAAAATAGGCGTTCCTGCAAAGTTGCTGATTGAGGTTACTGCAAAGGTTTTTAGCAAGTACAGTTACTTTTCTGTTAGCTTGCAGACATCTGACATGTTTGCATTTCCATGATTTGATGTGACGTCAACTGACCTTGCAGTCATATGTACAATATAACACGTTTTAAAATTATTTCTTCAGTAAAATTATCTGCCACAACTCCAGGAATTGTACAGATTGTCACAACTTCAGAAATTCTAAAGACTGTCAGACCAACTCTGTTCAATCCATAATAAGTATATTCATCCGACAATGAGCTGTCACTGAAGGTGTGATTTTTACCAACAATGTCAAGACTTGTATAATGTATAATTGTCATGCTGTCTGATCACATAATGTCCACATCAGTCACGTAAGGTTATTGTGTCTGTTCAACAATTAATATACCACACGTACAATATCCAGAATGCTGTATGCACAACACTGTGTATTAATTGACACGATGTGTATCAATGGAGGAGTGACTTAATCTGGATATGATCTTCATTAAACTACGTAAGGGCAGAGATTTGATTCCCTATAAACGTTTCACAGCGCTGTTGCATATCTTCAACGTCTTCTCACTTATGACAAAATATTTTCACTTCATGCAGTGTCTGCATATTATTTTAACTTCTTGTGAAACAGGGGTAATAAGGTTCCTGTGAAGTTGTTTCTTTAACAGGTACATTACTGCAAGGTGTCAGAAACGTGGTTGCTAGGTTACTGAAATGCCTCCATAAGGTTACATATCAGATATTATTAGAGCTGATAGTTTTTAAGAAGAAATGTGTTCGGAAAAAAACACTTGACCAAGTCAGAGAGATTGTAGAAGCAGTAAAATTCACAGTACTTTACTAATAAACCCAAATTTGAAGCTAAGGAGACAACCTATCGGTATACTAAATATGTAATATGATAACTCGGGTTATGTGAGTGTCGTTTGATTTTGTTTTGATTAGTGATACTCTGTATTTTGAACAAAAAAATGACTGCTTGCCTGTTATATTACACAGTAATGTTGTGTAATTGTTATTTTTGAACGCCCAATATGAAATAGTCTGATCATTGAGTGATTCACTTAAGGCTTTCGATTGAGTTTAATTAATTATATATTTTTCAGCACAAATACTAGCCAACGTTTGGCAGGAAAAGGGAACAGCACTTGCCACTTTTGTGAGACAAAAAAAGACTAACAGTGGATAATAAGAATTACTTATTAGTTTTGTACACTATCTAACTGACAGATTTTGGAGAGCATGTTAGTAAAACTTGCCTCTTGTTATTAGCAGTATAAATGTCAAAAATGTTATTTGTATTTTGAAAATCTTTGCTAGTGACATCAACATTTAAATTGTTTAACATTGTATAGCGAATAATAAAACTTGGATAACAATTCTTCGAGTTATTGTGACCACAAGAAAATGTTTTACGACGGAGTTAATAGTGACAACAACAAAGCAACGAAGATAGATATTCCTCATCTTTTCATTCACCTTATGATTCATTTAATTAATCGGTTATAATTATGGTTTATTTTTAAAATATAATAATCTTTGTAAAATCCCAGTTTTTTACAGATTCCTGAAAATATGTTTGCTTCATTAGTCCTAAAATATGATACAATAATACAGATATATTTTATTATTTTCAACTTATGAGAACCACGCTATAGTTTATCTTTAACATTTTTCTCAATGTTGTAAATAATGTTTAAAAAAAGTGTTTCTTTTTTCAGGATATTTTGAATACTTGATACCTCCTCGTCATACATATCCTGGAAGTAGCGATACTGATATGTCGTTATATATAAATGGATTTATGAGGTGGGTGCATTAAAGTAAAAAAAAAATAGTGATTGCCTTTTAATGAAAATACTGCCGCACAAAGTTGAACTTTGCTTTGTAATAGTAATATTTGTTTTCGAATTTTTGATTAAAAAATTCAGCACTCGATTCAGTGCAGAATTATTAATGACAAACGAATAAACGGAAATGTTCTACAATTTGTGGTTATTTAAACGATATGAATGTATTGCGAATACGGCAACTGTGGCATTTAGGAAAATTCGCGTATCGGTGATTTCTAAAAAAATATATATGGGAAACATTACAGCTTCAATGTGAGTGAATTTGTGATTGAATTAGAAATCATAATACAATATACTAGGTTATAGTACACATTTTTACTTTGAGGACTAGGATAAGTGGCGCCTTTCTAAGTTTGTTAAGGGTTCTCTCAGGTTGTACGTGGCCACTCCTGTGAAAGGCGTCTCCCCATGATGCGCTTTAATTATTTGTGTGACAGAATGCAGTCACAGTTACTTGCCCTTCGTTATCGTATGTTGAACAAAACATAGAATTGTTTTGTTTTATTGTGGTGAACTTTATTGGTACGTCCCATTCAGTCGAGAGCTTCACGGGGTTCGAGCTCACCCTAGGCCAGTGACAGGAACCGTCGGCGACAGTCATGAATGGTTGGCGACAATTGGTGTTCGCCTGAGTGGTGTCAATCTTAGTCCGAATTGTGTCGGAAAAAAACAAAATTACGATTAGAATTGTTTTTACCCGTCATCCTATGTTCCGTATTTCCGTTTCATTCATTTCTCCGTCTCGAAAATTCGATTTCTCGCTAAAATAATTTGCATGACTGTGAATGTCGAAATTAGCGTCCCTGAGATCGTGAAATTGTACTAATACGCTGAATTCACACACTGAAGACTACTTGAAAACTACTTTGTTTTCTCTTCTGTAATAAAACACTCTCTCTTCATTTGAAAAGTGGCTAGTTCAATGCAAGTACATGGAGCTGCATGTAGCGATTAGTGCATTCCCCGTGAGCAACTTAAACTTGTCATTGTGTAGCACAAAACGTAGCTTGTTTTCTTTCTTCTATTTCTGAATTCATATTAAGGCGCTCACGACATGTGCTCCGTCGGTTAAGCACGGCGTCCCAATCCTTGTACTCTAATTCTCCTGTTTCTAACGCACTACTACTAAGATAATCAAACGACGGTAACTATTCTTGTCGGCGTTCTTAACTGCGAAATAAACTGACAAAAAGGCATACTAGATTTCGACATTTTAGGATCTGTCATACATAACATTTTATATCACTTTGTTCGTGCTGTCTGTTGTTGTTAGTGATTATTCGCGGAGTATGTTTCGGTAGCGTTGCTAAACTTTGTGAAAACGAGTAGTGTAACATGCTGCTATTGCAAGCAATTTATATTGACACAACAAATGAAGTTGCCGCAATATTGCATTACAAGGCACGGTCGGTATATGTATGATCTGGCGGTGTGCGTCAACGGTTTCCAGTTATAAGCATGTTAAGGACCGTACTTGAGTACCACTTTCAAAAACATGTGTCACCTTTCTGGTATATATACTGGGAAGTTCCGAAGGTTATGTTTTTCATAGACGTGTAATAAATAACAAATAATT